TAAGAGAGGCCGGCAGCTGAGAACACGAGGAACAGAATCTTTGCCCAGGTGTTGTCTATAACTGTCACCAATCATTAACCCCAAGAAGGGAGGAACCGCAGCTTAGAAGTCAAGGTCACCTACAATCAGGAGGGGCCAGCAGCTGACACGGAGCACAGGAGGCCAGGGAAAAGAAAGTGGCAAGGCGAGAGAGCCCGAGTTCCAGAATTTTGTGTTGCAGTTTCCTCAGCCACAGTGTGCACAGCAGGAGTCAAAAGCAACGGCCAGAGCTAGCCGGTTGCTCGCCTGGTTAGAGCACAGTGATGATTACACCAGGGTCCAAGGTTCAGGTCCCCTTAGCAGCCAGCTGCCAAAACAAAAAACAGAAAAGAAAAAAAAAACGGCTTCACCCCAGCTTTTCTGCCCAAGGCTTCCACTCAAGTCCCCTCCACCCCACATTTCTATAGGAGTGCACAGGGGGTCCCCACTCCACGTCCCCCCACCTCCACCTCCCAAGAACAATGACACAGACCCCACCTGATTCCCCCCAGGAGCCCTCCCTGCTCCATGTCCTGGGAACACACTACGCATCTCAGCTCCATGACTTGGCGCCCCCCTGCCCCCTGCCCAGGGTGTCTTCTTCCTCCTAAGTCCCTCACGCACCCCAAGACTCCATGCAGGCTCTTCTCTGTGGAGCCTCAGGGCAGCAGCCCCCATTGCACAGGGCCTGGGACCCACCCACCAGTGTGGTGTGCCAAGCTCCCTGCAATGAGGCGGGCTCGTGTAGTGACCCCCAAACTCACGTCCTGCCCGGAACCTCAGAGCATCACCTTATTAGGAAATAGGGTTGTCACAGATGAATGAGTTAAGATGAGGTCATCCTGGAGTAGGGTGGGCCCTTAATCCAATGACTGGTGTCCTTATAAGAACAGAAGGGACACAGAGACACAGGGGAGGATGCCACGTGAGGATGGAGGCAGAGACGGGAGTGATGCGCCCACCAGCCACAAAAGCAAAGGACGCCAAGGGCCACGGCAGCGCCAGAAGCCGGAAGAGGTGGGAAGGGTCCTCCCCACAGCCCTCAGGGGGAGCCCAGCCCTGCCCACATCTTGATTTCGGGCTTCTGACCTCCAGAACTGTGAGATAATCCATTCCTTGCTGTGGCAGCATGAAGAGGTTAATGCAGAGGGGACAGAGTCCCAAGACTGGGGGGTCTGCAGTCCTTGAGGGGCATCTCCTGCCCAACCCCTGCAGGACCCCTCTCGGGTATCACTTGCATCACACTTATTCTATGCTACCTTGTGAATTATTTATCTTTCTATATGGGTTTTATGGACTCCTTCAAATAAAGAAAAAATGAAATCCTGGTTTGCCTGCCCCAGCTCTCTGCCTGCATGCAGAACTGCTCCCTGCCTCATCTGCCAGGAGCAAGACTGCAGTGGGTCCTGTGCCCACAGCCACCCCTGCTCTGGGGGTGAGGACCTACAGTCACTCAGCTGGTCTTCTCGGGCCTTTCTTTTATTTATAGATGAGCACCCATTGTGGAATCAAGTTAAGCATATTACTTCAATGCATGGACATTATCATCACTGGCCCTTATGAGTCCTCTCTCTTGTCTTTCTTTTTTTTTTTTTTTTTTTTTTTTTTTTTTTTTTTT